GTAAGATATTCATTTCACAGTGTAAACAGCTTCAGTGATTTAAATGGGAGTTTTTGAGAGTGCCTGAACTCTGGCTAGACTGAAGTGAAAATGTTCTTTGATAATGTAAATGTTCTTTGCTCTCTGTAAAATGAAAATGTTATAAAATAGTAACTTACAATATTGTTATTAAATTCACATTAATACAAAGTCATTCGTATTAAACAATATTTTATGGCATGACACCCATATCTGGTAGGCCTACTTAAGTAAAAAAAAAAACGCATTTACTTACACATGTTTGAGAATCGAGATATTTCCTGATATAGTTAACACGTTTGGAAATATTTCAAATAAAAAGGAAAAAAAACATAAGCCTATATCAGTTATATAGTGCTATTGTGGCTGCTGTGTCACATGACAAGCATGAGTGCATGACGCCCCTGGTCTGGTCAGTACCTGCTCTCGAGAGGAATGGCACGATGAAGTGTGACACGGCTGTTCGGCGCTGAATGTCATTCATACGGAAAAATCCTGCATCGAACGCTCCAACCCTTCATCACACACACACACACACACATACACATGTCAATATCACAACACTCAGACTCCAAATCTAAACTGATTCACTGATATTCAGATCCATAAAACACTAGGATATTCACACACTGCTCACTCAGTATGTCTGACTGGTTTTAAATGTTTACAGAGAAAGTGAGGAAGATCTGGGCCGTTTACACTGTCTGGAAGCTCTGGCAGCTGAGGTTCTGGCTGCGCAGGCACTGCAGGAAGGTCCCGGATGCGCTCGGCAGGAACGCTCGCAGGTGTTCATCAAGCCACAGCGCAGTGGCGCTCTCGTCCATCAGTCTGTCCAGCCGCAGCTCCCGCAGGACGTCCAGCACCACTGAAGCAGAGCTGCTGCTCCACCACACCGACTACACACAGAAGATCATCAGCACCAGCACAAGGAATGAAACACACAGCAGGACTGCTCTCAATCTCCGTTCATGGTTCAGAGTGAATAAATGCAGGATTTCTGCTGTTTACCGTCACTTTGAGTCGCTCAGTTCCTGTTTTCATAAAGCATTGATAAAGTGTTTTATGACTGAGTGATTCTGAATCTCTGCTAGTTTAGTGTCATTGATAAACTACTAAAATTTCGAATTTGTTTTTATTTTGAGATTTTCTGTTTTCCTTTTAATTTCAGTTTAGTAAAGTTTAGTAATTTAGTAAATTGTGTGTTTACGCATTTTTTTTCATTTTATAACTAAATTAAAATAAAATTGTTGCCCTGGCAACTACAGTAGGTGAAATAAAATATTTTTTAATAAAATAATTTATTTTAATTTATTTCAATTTTTTTTTTTTTTAAGTTTTATATTTTATTTTATTTAAGTTTATTTCAGAAACTTTTAGTTATTTTACTACCTCAACAAATGTTGCTTTGGCAACTAGGCGAAATAATTTTCTTAATATTTTATTTCAGTTAACATTTCTTTTATTTCAAGTAACAAACGTGTGTTTGGTAACACTTTACAAGGTTCCATTTGTTAACATTAGTTAACAAGAACGATCATTGGAAAACATTTCTAAAGCATTTATTAATCTTAGTTATTGTTAATCTCAACATTTACTAATACATTTTTAAAATCAAATGTTGTATCTTTTAATATTATTACCTGAACTAACAATGACCAGCTGCAAAGTTCAATAAATACTGTAACAAATGTATTGCTCATTGTTAGGTAATACACTAACTACTGTTAACTAATGGGACCTTATTGTAAAATACTGCCGTGCTTTTTTTATGGTTTCAGGTTTAGTTGCAGTGTGAAATGAGTCTGTCCTGTACCTGGCTGGAGAGCTGCTCGAGGGCGATGTCCAGCAGGTGTGAGACTCTGGTCAGGAAGAGTTTCCAGCTCTCAGCTGAGCTCATGTCATCATCAGACAGGTGAGAGTTCAGTAGTGTGACCAGATACTCCACGCTCACATTCAGCACCTGAACACACACGTGAACACACCACAACACGCATGTTTACACCACCGTTTCACATCTGATTACAGAGCTGCATTCTGGGATATAGACTCATGTGTGATTACCGGGGCGCATGCATGTGCTGCAATACTGAAGCCACAAACCCGTCCTTCGTTCAAGCACTGCTGTGCTGCAGAACTGGACAGAGAGGACACAGTTAGTCAAAGCTGGGAAAAACAAAAGAGGAAAATGAAGCAGCGATTAAAGCTTTACGCTACCTGTCCACTCCACTGCACACCCGAGTCTCTGAAACACACACAAAGAGAGCAAAACATCAGTATTGCACACTCACATATGATCATGAAATAATAGCAGTACTTTTCCTCTTTCACTTTGGACAGAAGCATCTGCTAAAAGCGTGAATGTAAATGATGGTGATGGACAGGAATCACTGAATACCGTTGAATGGAGTCACGGCACACTGCAGAGGAAAAGACAAAAGCGGTGTTAAATGTACACAACAGACTAAAATTATTGTTTCGGATTCTGTAAGAGTAAAAATGAAAGCAATTCATTTAAAATGACAAACACACCTCATTCACGACTGGGAGAAGAGCGCAGTCTGTGAGGACAGTCAAAAACAGCATTAATAAGGAACAGGAGAAAAGAACATAACGGCTGACAGAGAGACGGATGAAACACCGCTGACCTGCAGGAGCCGTGCGGCTGAACTTATAAACGCTCGCCCAGACGACGGGCTCCAGATCACCCGCTCCTGAGCTCAAGATCTGCTCCAGCCTCGTGAAACTGATTCACAACACAACAGAAGTAGTCAAGAAGATGTGGTCAATAATGCAACTGAATCTGATGGGTATTAATCAACTAACACTTACATTATCTGGTTGGTTTGACAGCTGAGTGGACTCTACAAAAGAAAACCAGTAGAAGTAATTTATTTATTTCCATGCAGAGGAATAGAACTCCAAGCAGCAATAACAGGGTGAGCGCAGTAGAACGTTTACATTTAGTCATGTAGCAGATGCTTTTATCCAAAGCGACTTACAAATGAGGACAATGGAAGCAATCAAAATCAACAAGAGAGCAATGAGATGCAAGTGCTATAACAAGACTCAGTTAGCTTAACGCAGTACACGCAGCAAGGTTTTTTTTTAAATTATGTAATAAATAAAAAGAAAACAGAATAGAGCAAACTAGTGTTAGAGGCCGTCTTTGCTTTTGTTAATTGTATAATCTCAACTCAACTCAACCTTTATTTATAAAGCACTTTCAAAACCATAAAAATGGAAAAATTGTATAATAAATAAAAAGAAAATAAATAGACAGAATACAAAAAGAATAGAGAAGCTAGTGTTAGTTTTTTTTTTAGTGCAAGTCTAAAAGAGACATGTTTTTTTATTTTATTTTAAAGAATAGAATCAGAATAGAGAGTGCTAGAGTTAGAGGGTCAAATAAAGAAGGAACAGATGTGTTTTTAGCTGATTCTTGAAGATGGGATTGAGTTGGGCAGGTCACTCCACCAGGAGGGAACAGTTAATGTAAAAGTGAAAGTGATTTCGTGCCTCTTTGAGATTGCACAATAACGCGTCGTTCACTTGCAGAACGCAAGCTTCTAGAGGCACATAACTCTGAAGTAATGAATTTAGGTAAATGGGTGCAGAGCCAGTGGTGGTTTTGTAGGCAAACATTAACGGTAACACTTTAGACTAATGGTCCGTTGTTAACAAGTAACTATGCAGGAAGTAATAGGTAGTACTACATTAACACTTAACTTAATACTATTAACTAATAGAGAAGCAAGATTAACTAAGCACTAAGTAGTAGCAAATTTAGGACAAAGGTAGTTCCTTATTAGATATTTGATAATTATTAAATAAAAATATCCTCATTGAGAACTACTTCTGAACTATGACCAGTTAATAAAGAATAACCAATTAATTACTAATCACAACAGTAACATCTTAAAAGTGAACAATTG